CGTTTTATCATTTCTATGGTAACCCCTTTGATATGGGTATCAAATGAAGGAGCTTGATGTAAAAAACGCAATAAATGAAGTGAATAAATTCTAAATCCAATATGGCGGTCACCGCAAACTGGCAATTTATCATTATCAGAGTAACCGACAAGAGACGGGAATCGAATGAAACTAATTAATGAGCGAAGCACAATAATTTAGGCAAGGCTATTTTATGGCACAGCTGATCTGGGATGGTGCCAGGAAGTGGCCATGGGAACCTTGTAATGAAACGACGCAAACCCACTGAGTTGGGACTCGTTCCATTTTTCTTGAAAAATACTTTGGTCTGGGGTCTCATGATTAAGGTAGTCTACTATTTTCAAAATAAGTACTCACCTATCCCAGGATGGAAAAAGGATGCAATACGCTTGTATTTGAAAACTTGGGAAAGAGAAGCCTCAATAATGTTTAAAGGTTGAGAAGTAAAGTCGTAAAACAACGTATTTCCAGTCGGAATAAATTGTTGTTGAATCTGTTTTGGTCGTCTTATTAACAAATAAATTGAAGCTTTTTTAAATTTAGTTTTTTCTTCCATCTATTCAGACTTGGGTTGAAATACATCATACAAACTCTCGTCTTTGTACTTGCAAACCCTAGATGAGGCTGCTGATTACAGCTCTCCTGACAGGGTATTTGTTCTTTTGACTCGGCCCAGACTTTCAGCTTAGCAGAATGCAATCTGACCTTATCAGTGACGATTCCTTAATACATAGTCGCGAGTTTTATTGACACTGGTGGCCAGTGATCTGACTCTGGCCGATACGTCAAAGAAATTTCATCCTCTATGATTTTGAGTCCAGACTTTCATTACCTACTACACTATTTTCATATGATGTAACGACGTAAAGACTAGCCAACCGCAATCAAAATTTCATTCGATATGTGAAACAACCAATAAAAAATGCCGTCAAGGAGAGTGACTCTACACGTCCCACGCAACACATTCATATGTTCAGAAAAGATTATGTTCATCATAAAAAAGATGAAGCTCCGATTATAGAATACGAGTATCGCTACAGCGCTGTGAATCATCGTTCCATCAAACCTCGATCCATAGTGCCGCAAATATTGGTGGCTAACCAGTGTTCATTAACATATATATATATATATATATATATATATATATATGAGCAGTAGTCATTGCCAAAACCAACGACTAGTTGGGTACAAAATACAATTACTTGTTAATTGGGAAATTCGCAAAACTTTTAGGCTTAAGTTGAGCCTTCACCAGGATTCTGAAAACACAATTGTGATGTTAGCAAAGAAAACAGGACAGATTTAAAATTTCAGACAACTTAATCGTCGGTGAGGTTGCAGCCACAAGGTGTTTCAGAAAGAACGTAGAGAAGATCGAACTTGTGATCAGTATAAAAACAAGAGGACGGGGACATTGGGCTTGTTGAAAAACGACAGATACCTTCGTTAAAAGTTAAGAAAAAATAAAAATTATATCAATACACCCGAACAAGTTAAAAATATTACACGTGGGGAGACATTTTGTTGAAACAATCGGAATGCAGTCCCTAACCTTCTACTACCGCTACACGTGGAGAGGGGGAAGGCACGGAAAGGTAAAGCGTCGACAGATGACGCGACGGGCCGTGGAAATGTACACCTCCCTGTCCAACTTTGGGTATGAAGTATACGAGGGACGCTCAGTAAATCTCCACCCAAAATTACTAAAATGCTGAAATAACTTGTTTTGGAAAAAAGTGTGTGGTTCATATGAATGCAAGGATGTGTGATATTGATACAACCTTGAAAGGATGTGTTATGTGAGTTTATATTAAATATATATCATTATGATTTTCAACCGAAATATGTTAGTTAAGACCGTAGGCTAACTACGTCTGCAGCGTTGAAGATCCAGGACGACAGATACACATATCTTATGTTCGATACATGTATTACAGAATCGAAATCTTACCAGGGACAGCACCAGGTGTACATGAAAATATGTCTGTGAAATTTGTTTAAGTAGTGCATATAATTTCTGGGGCTAGAAAGGTATATTAACGCCAAAAAATGCACTTCTTACGCAACGCCGTTATAACGGATTAAGTTCAGTAAAAGTAAAACTCTCTGAGAGAAAAAATACGAACATGTACAATAAAAAAATTAAACCGATCAAACAGACCCGTGCATTTATTCCATGGACATTCTTTCCCCGCCCTACCGGTAGTTACCGTCCATTTGGCAAGGTTGTCCCTTCCCATAGCGTCAGACGTGGCAGCGCCCACCGAAGCACTGTCACAGTCCAAGCGGCATAATCAAGCAGATCGTTAGTTACGAAGGGCGCTGAACCCAGGTGTCAGAAGTGACGCATACCGAAAACATATCTCTTATCAGTTTTAACAACAAATGTATACGGGAACCTATGATGTGTGAAATAGGTACTTTTTCGTGATATACATGTCTTATAACATTCAAAAAACATAATATCTCATTTTCCTATTTTTTGGCGATTACCATACTTTCTCGTCCAGTAACGTAGGAAGTAAGAATCGAGACATACTCATCCTCACCTCCTACATCCCTTACTGGTTTGTAGGATTCTCCATGCACTTTTTGAATTATGAAAAATAATAATGCCATTGCATAACTATAGTTTACACTGGTTGCCGAGATACCGCCGGCGCCCTCTATTAGGTAATGGTCCACCCGGAAGAAGCCGTCAGATTATCAGGGTCGGCTTCACAGCTTCGTGCGCACTGAGGCAAAGGATAAAATCTGCGCCCCTCCCCGTATTAATTGAACATTTTGTGCTTCCATGACACTGCGCCATGACGCCGTTGCCTCACTTGCTCAGCGCCTTCAGCCGGTCCTGCAGATTATCATACTTCCATTATCCGAGACACGTGGGGCATATAGATTATCAATGTCTGAGGCACTCGACATTTCTATTTTACTATTTTTTTACATTTTTGACAACCTGTAAACGCCCCCCCCCCCCCCTTCCATCATATAACTTTTTTTCTTTTTGTAATCTGGTCTTCAAATCTCAATAGGTCCCTATCCCTCGAGAACTACCCATTTAGCCTCTTGGGCTCTCCTACATTAGACATTTTTGTAAAAATTTTACAAGTAACAACAAAACTAACACGCATCAACCCTGAAACTGTTTCATCAATCCTGAGGGTGAATCTTATGAACTATGAATAATATAGTACAACGAAATGTGGTACAATAAACTACTTATGTAACTCTGCCTGTTACTAACAACAGAATTGTGAAAACTGTTTTTACTCACAGCGTAGGACATATCTAACAGCAAATGTTCTTCTTTTGTTTTTTCCAATGAATTCGCAATGTCTCTTCTCGGTGCATTCTTGATTGTTCAAGATTCCCTACAAGGTAACTGTTGCATTATTTCAGATTTTATTGTTGCCGACTTGCATAAATATTTCTAAATGTTTGCTGTAGGTTTATGTAATGGAGTGCATTACGTTGGTGTAACATGCACGTAATACTTCACTTCACACACGAAAATAGCACTTTTTATTTCAATAAGTGTTCAAAATGTTGTCCGTAATTGGCCAAACAATGTATAAGCGCTGTTCAAATTCCTGACGGACATTTTCAAAAACATGTTTTGGGATAGCATGGCAGCTTTCGATGATGCGCTGACGAAGTTCATCCAAGCTTTCGGGTTAGGGAGTTAACACAATAGATTTCAAATTCCCCCATAGAAAAATGTCTAATGGCGTCAAATCAGGAGATCTAGCAGGCCATTCTTTAGGCCCTCTTCGCCTTATCCATTTATCTGGAAACTCGTCGTCTAGTCGAAGCCGAACTAGAAGAATATAGTGAGGAGGAGCGCCGCCTTGCTGGAAATATATTTCATCGTCATCAAGAATAGGGTTTCCATCCTATTCCGGGCAGCATTTTGAGCACTTATTGAAATAAGACGTGATATTTTCGTGTGTTTTTGCTTTCTATCTGAACAAATTAAGATAAATAAAGATTTTTGTAATTTTCTTGAAAACCAATCGACCGATTTTAAAATATCAAATATCAAATTAAAGGGTTCGAAAAACCTTTCAAACAAGCTATTACTCGATACCCCTTGTCATTTAAAATTTTTAAGAGAATCACCCTGAGGGATCGAGGGTGAAATGGGGTGAAGTAGTTTTTTTTGGTTAAAAAGTTGTCCCCCTTGACAAATCCTTTGACGTGACTTGGCGTTTTTTCTTTTAATCAGTGGTTTTCGATAAATCCATGTTGGGAAGTTTTCAAACACCCTGTATGTACATAGGCATAAGCCACATGACTGGCAAGATCCTTAAATATTTGGCAATAAAGAAGAGCCTAGTATCAGTACGAGTACTGTATCTTGACTGACAGCTGGGTCATATGGATGCCAGAACTTTGTTAGGAAACCGCGTTTCGGCTTGTCGATATTCACCGATGACATGACTTGTCACAAACGCATTTCATCATCTGCGACATCCGTCAGGAAAAGGAAAATGGTATTTAGAATTGAAACTTGAAGATCTATAGCAAAGGCATTGGTCTTTTGTGTTCATTATCCATTTAAAATTAGCATTATCTGAATAACAAGATGCAAGATGTTCAGTTACTGCATTGCGAAACTGCTACTTACTGAATCAGTAGGTGAACTTATGTTCTTCTATTGGAGATGGCGAAAAATGCTTTCCCCATTGAATTACCAATTGAAGAACCCCCCTAATTGGTTCTAGTTATCTAAACACCAGAGTAAATATGACATTTATTGTATTTATTCTGTCTTTTTAGCACAGAAAGTAAGGTTTTTTCGTATTCAGAGTATTTGTGGTTGCTACTGCTGTATAAAAAAGGTTGACTTGTTAATATTCTAGTCTGACGATGGTTTTAGTGCTACCAGTATATTTACTTTTTCTGAAGTGCATCATTTGAAAATAAGCATGGACATTTATTTTAATCACACGAACATATTTTTTGCCATGACAGTCACGTCAGCGATCGCCATGCGCGGCCTTGTCCTGAATAAAGAAAATAAATGAAGATGTTCGGAATTTCTCACGACACTGATGCTATTCTATAATGCTTTTCGTCTCACGTGGACCCTCATTAAGCATAGACGATCTCGTCATAAAAAACTAAAACTTAATATGACTTTTTATGGATCGTTGAGACTGCTCCTTTGTCCGCGAAAATACAAGTTAGGACGGGAGCTTGCGAGGTTGAGTTTTTAGAAAAACTCAAAATACTTTTTTAGACCGAACTAACCAATTTTTTATTGAGAAGAATTACAGAGTTGATTGTAGCAAAAGCAAAGTGAATCTGAATAACAAAGCAGGTGTGAGAGTATGATAAGAACGGAAAAAGCTGATGCAACGTCTTCATTCTTCGAACCTATGCATTTCCAGTGGCGTAACTCTCCCCTCCTTAAACAACGACTTCGGACTGGTACAGCACTGAAGGCGAGCTATCTTGGATTTTGGTAATTTGTTGAGGCTTCCTGTGTTTCTTCAATTTCTTCCTCCAGAACCATTGAAGTACGGACGGCGACAACGGCTAATATTACTACGATCGCTGACCATAGTGACCAATTGAGGTGATCAATCGGTTTCACATCTTCGATCACCAATTGGTTTGTAGTCTGAATGTGTTTTTGAATTTCATGCATGTATTCTAATGAAATTCTTCCTAATTTCAGTGGTCTTAGTTTTAGGTTGGCTAATTCCACTGATGAATTTTTAACTAATGAAGGTAATATTAAGGGCTTCCCAATCGCCTTTTGCTTTCTATTTCCAAAACAGTAGTCTTTATATTCTATATTGCAGTTTACAGGAACTTCTACTAAAGTGCTGCCTTGGACAGTGAAATACTCATCATCTTGATTTCAAAGTATTTTTTTCAGTGATTATACTGAGATATTCGTCATTGACTCAGTTCAATATTCTTTCCACGGGTACTAACTGGCAAGATGAGACTTGAGACACAGTCAGTCTTCACCAGGATTAAACTTAATATCTGCTTGTTAACATATTCAGAAATTTTTACTGATTGTATCAATGGTTCTTGAATATTTTTCAACAACACTTTTGGCCATGGAAATTTGTCGGTTTATTTCCTCAATGATATTCTCTTGATTCCAGCTCAAAATTGTAACAGCATTGTCGGAACGATTACCATCCAATTCATTTACTTATTTATGGATCCGCCTAAATTAATTAATGTTCGTCTCTGTCTAAATTCTAAAATCAAAATATTTTGGAATTTGTTTTTTATTTCAGTTATTATAGGAAACAGCTGATCGTACTTATTCTTTAATACCATATAATATAGGGGGCTACTCCCTAAATAAGAATTTAGATTTGTATATATATTTACCAAATTATGAATATATTTATTCAAATCCTCCAATTGATCATCCTGTAAGAAAATATGTTTTCTCTCCACTAAATGAGCCTTGCCTAATTTAACAGGAAGGATGTCTGGTGTGTTGGATACATTTGTAACGTTAACTTCACTAGTTATCATTTTGGCTACTACTAGGAGGATCAGGAAGATTTTCGTTGCTTCCATGTTCGTCTTGTAACAAGTGAGGTTTTCTTAATTTTTTGATATGAACTATTTCTATTTTGCCTTTGTCATTTTTTATTTCAACTTTACTATGCTCTAACAGATTTACAATAGTATACGGTCCTACAAATTTATCATGTTTTTTTATTTCTTATTTTATGATTCTTTTTATATACCCTTTGCCTATCTTTTATTAATTTAACTTGAACTGTATCGTATACCATACTAACTTTTTGTTTGTGATTTAGAACGTATTCTGAGAGAAGTTTCTTTAGCATTAAAATTTCATCTGCATGTCTGGATTGAGTATGACCAAATACTAATTCAGAAGGGGTAAAACCGGTAGCGCTATGAATTGAACTGTTATAACCTATAATGGCATAATCAATGAGATCATCTTAATTTGGGTATTTTCTTTCAAAATTCTCAAATGCTCACTATGGGTGGAATGAAACCGTGGTGTAGTGAAATGTACTTTAATTGTATGCAGTTTCAACAATTCTTTGATAGTTTCATTATTGAATCCCTTTCCTGAATCTATTACAATTTTTTCGGGTATTCCGAAGCTACTAAAATACTTTGTGAGTGCTTTGCAAACACTAATGGCTGTTTTATCAGCTATGAAGAATGCTTGCCCGAATTTACTACTGAAGTATATTTATCCCTATTATAGAAAAATGTATCAAGATGTAATATTTCAAATGGTTTTGAAGGCGTTTCAGAGAGTACTACAGGGACATAAGGATTTTGTCTTGAATATTTAGCTCTTTGACAAATATCTCACGCATTGATATAATTTGAAATACTTTGTTTCATATTTAGCTAACAATAATTTTTCTTTAATGATTGAAGTGTTTCTTCTATGCTACGGTGATTATTTTTACCTTCATGATAATTTTTTATTAACATAACCTGTTCATCTAACGTCAGGGACGGTATTGAAACGGCTTGTGCGCCTGATGAGTTTCAACAATTTGTTACCGAAATATTCAGAATAAACGTCCGTGAAATCAGCAATTGACTCTTCATTTTCAAAATAAATATAGTATGTCTTGTCAGTTAAATAATCCCTCACAAAGTCAAATACTAGGTTTTTATTGTTTTCTGGAGGTATGTTAACCCTAAGAATTTTGTGATTACCATAACTTTCCTTAATTACAGTAACCTTATCCTGCCTACTTTTATAAATATTAATTTGATTGAACTTATTATTGATTATAGTTTCTTGTATTGGTATGCCATTATTTTCTACTTCTTCAGATAGTGAAGGAGCTGTTTCGTTAGGTTCCGGATTTTGATCATAATTTTGTGTGTTATTAGCAATATCTTCTAAAAACTTCAAAATAGCTGCGTCCACATCGCCTGGATTATCTACTGTTGATTCTGTCTCGTACATATTTATTTCTAGTCTGCATTATAATTTAGTTTACCTTTCTTATATAAAATTTTATAATAATACTCCTGTAATCGAAGTCTCAACCTAACTAATTTTGAATTTGGATGTTTGACATTAAAAAGCCACGTGAGGGGGCGACATCAGTGACTATAGTAAATTTACGACCAAAAATGTAAGGGCGAAAGTATTGAAATCTAAACAAAATAGCAAGCATTTCCTTTTGCTGCAGAATGATATTTTTGTTCACTTTCATTCAAAATACGAGATGCGTAAGCTATAGGTTTATCCTGACCAATTGGTTCTTGACTAAAATTGCACTAATTGCTACTTCGCTAGCACCTGTAGTTAGTAACATTCTTATAACTCTATAAAATCGGTCTATGTATGACTTTAGCATTTTTTTCAAACATGTCAGGTTTTGTAATTTTCGCAAAGTCTGGTACGAATCTCCGATAATAACCTACTAGTCCTAAAAATGACTTTCTTTTTGAGTTCGCGGAATCTGAAATTTCCTTTAGAAGGTTTGTCTTAATGCCTTCTGGGTTCACAATATGTCCTAAATATTCTACAGATTCTTGTAAGAAATGGGATTTATCCAATTTGGCTTTAAAGTTAACTTGTCTCAATCTTTCAAATACTTTTTTCAATTTTACGAAATGATTCTGGAGTGACGAACCAGAAATTATTATATCATCAAGATACATGAAGCAACATTCTCCTATTTAAGCCTTGAAGCATTCTTAAGAATTCAAAGTGACCTTTTATAGCAGAAAAAGCTGTTTTAGAAATATCATTTTCGTCAATTTCAATTTGATAATATCCAGATGTAAGATCAAGAGTTATAAAATAATTCGATCTACCAAGTTTGTCTAAAATATCTGTAATATTGGGTATAGGAAATTTATCGTCTATTGTATGCTCATTCAATTTTCTATAGTCTATTCCACTTCAATTTACGAGATTGATCCCTCTTTTTTGACACTCCCCAGATGGGGCTGCTATAAGGTGAAGTCGAATGTCGAATGATGACCTTGTTTTAGCATCCTATTGATCTGTTCACTTACTTCCGGTTTATGTATTTCTGAAAATCTGTACGATTAAGTATCAATAGGCTATCAATCTAATCTTATGTTTGACTTCATTTGTAGAACTAAGAGGAATCTGTTCGCAATAAAAGATATCCCTATATTCAAAAATCAATTTTTTAATATATGCAATGCAGTGATCCAAATTAATATTTTTTAAATTCTGTTTCAAAACGTTATCGTATTTCTTCGTGAATTTAATGTTATCGTTAACTTTGGACATAAAGTTTGTGTCTACAGGATTAATTAATTCGATATCGAATGGTGCTGTAATTGTAGCCACATATTGCTTAGGATTTGGGTTATGGATGGTTGTGATAGCAAAATAATTTTTTATGTTCGCTAGGGCTGTAGGGGAATTCAAGTAGTAAACAGGAATTTTTATTCTTTTTTTCACATTCTAGTTGCACAACAAAGTTGAAAATTCTTCTGTAATTTATTTTCCTCATTCATAAAAATAGGTATTCGACAATCTGGTGTAATTAACAGTTTATCCTGAATGTCTACTATAGCATGTAATTGTTGCAATAAATCCGTACCGATAAGACCATCATACTTCGAATTGGAATCGAAAATATAAAATGTATGCCATTGATCAGTTTCTAAAATGTCAAAAACTGGAATAACTACTACTTCATTATGGTAACTTATATCATGAGAGGTTTGTATGTTGAAATGTTCGTTCTGAATATACTCTGGAAAATATGCATGGGCTAAATTTGAACTAATTAAACTTCTTGTGCTTGCTGTATCTAATAGGAATTTCGCATCTAGTTCAGGTATATAAATGTATGGTAAATTATTATGTAAAAGGCTAAATTCTATTATGTTTGATTTTTCGGAGGCTGGTCCTGAGGAAGATTTTGTTCAATGTCATTGCTCTTCTTCGCAAACATCAGTATTTTGTAAATTTTCAAATTGATTACTAGGAAATTCATGATCTACTCTGATCATAATTTTCTGTGTTGCTCATAATATTGCAAATCACTATTAGGGTTACTGAGGTACTTTATAAATTATGCAGTTACTGAATACTAAAATTTCTAGGTCCTGAGCTTTGAAAATAATTTCTATTTTGATTCCATCTCTGTACGTTAGAATTTAACTAGACGTGGCTGACATAGGTTCGGGTTTAATTTAAGGCGTTTGACCTGTAGGCTTAAAGACACTATGATTTCTTGGAGGAAAATTCTGTTTTACAAATACTTGCTGATTCGTGAAAAATCTATGAGCTGGAATATTTTGTTTTGATTGAATGTTTATAGGTTGAGAAGGAAAATAACTTTGAGGCTATTGCATTACATTTGGTTGTAGTGGAAAAGAAGCAAAACTGTTTTGATTAAAATTTTGTGGAATATGGGTAGGTAGCTGAGAATTGGGAAGGTTCTGACTAGAAGCATTATTGCCAGACCTTGACCCAAATTGTCTCTGATAGAGCATGAAATGTTCTTCCTCTAACACATACGAAATAGCTAATTCGCAGCTATCTGGATTTCTATGTCTAACCATATTTTATACTCACCTGTGAGACCACGAATAAATGTTTTCAAGCATAATTCATCATAATTTTTATCTGAAAAGTTCTTTCTGCAAGTGATAAATCGATAGATATTAATTTTGAAGCTATTGCACTCCTAGCCTTTTGAAGTCTTTGCCCAAAATTAAAGAAAGATTCATTTTTATGAGGTTTCATAACAATTAATTCCTGAACAAGGCAATCCAAGTTCCTTTGATCACCAAAACTGAACCGTAAAAGAATCTTCAAGTCTTGCCAGTTTCTAGTTTCTTGTCTACTTCCTACTAAAGCTAAAGCATTGCATGTTAATTTACTTACGATCGCTCTTATCAGAAATCCGTTAACAGGGTCACTTGGATTATTCAAGTTTGTGTAAGTGTTAATCAGATGATCACAGTGTTTAAGGAAAATTTCTAAAGTACTATTGTCACCATTAAAATTTGGAATTGAGTCTATATATAGTCTCAATAGCTGGTCATTCACCTGTGATTCGGTAATCATTGTGCTAATATTACTACTACTACGACTACTAGTACTATCTAAGCTTAAGTTATTAAAATTTTGACAGAATGGCTTGCAAAATTATCACTTGTTGTTATGAATGAAGGCAATGCTCCAACTTTTGTCCGAGGAGTATCAACGTCCATACTTGACCTAACTATAACCTCAGAAGACGGTTGCCCACACATACGCAACTGCTAGGTACTTGAGAATGAGAGTCTGAGTCTACACCGATGCCGTTTTGGGTGAGAGAATACTGAACAACGATATCAACAATGCTGAGGAGCTGACAAGAGCTCTAACAGAGGCCTGCAATACCTCTATGTCTAAGAGGCGCCTCAATCCGAAAAGAAATGTCTACTGGTATACTCTAGATATAGCAGCTCTCCGCAGGGACTGTGTCAGAGCACCGCATGCCTAGCAGGCACAGAGCCCCCGACTCTACGCGCGATCTTCTAGAGCAGAGTTCCCAAAACTTTTTTGTGTCGTTGACCCCTTGCCATGTTTTTCCGTGTTGGGTAGACCCCCTAATTACCTGATATTGATTTTCTGTAAATTTCTAACTGTAGTGAAGTTAAGTGTTGAAAACTTAAAGTAAAAACACATGTTAATTTATACATTTATTAATTGAATTTAAATTAAAACTACTCAAAATAAAATTTTGTATCTGTTATGTAAAATATACGTAACATTAAATAAACAGGTGTCTGACCAATAAGCGCCCGCATTGGGAATAAGTGCCCGCATTGAAAAAAAATAAGAGGGATAAAATAAAAAAAGTGAAAAATAATTAAAAAAAAGTTTTTTACTTAAAATAGTACAATAAGCGACTTCGTTTATTAATTATAACATAAACGTATGTTCTACAATAATTTCACTGTTAGTTAAATTCCGCTTCTTATACGTTTAAGTTATCTAAAAATATGCAAAAAACTAACGAATTTTAGTGTGTACCTATCCTTGAATTTTCAGAATAAATTAGAAAAAAAAATATTTTCTATAAAGGGGAGTTCTTTAAAAAAATCAATGCGGGCACTTATTCCCAATGCGGGCATTTATTGGTCAGACACCAATAAACATAAAATAAACTATAAATAAAATAAAATAAGCAATAAGTCAATATTTTTAGTGAGAAGGATGAACCTGATGCTTTAATAATAAATTATCAACATTTGGCGTCAATTTTGTAAGGGTTAATCTTATCTCCTCGGCTAATGATGTCCAGTCTGTTTCTTTTTTTTTCGTTAGGAGATTGGTAACAGCGCTGAATCCCCTTTCCAGTAGGTACGACGATGGAAAGGAAATTAAAAAGTTCCTCGCTATATTCCATAATACGGGATAAGTAACGGGTATGTTGTTTTGCAGCCAGAATTGCTGATATCCGTTTTTAAACTGAACCTTAAGTTCTTCGTTTGTACTTAGTTCAGTCAGTTCCTCTTGTATTATGACATTCGTTTCTTCTATGTCACCATATGGATTAATTATCCACGGTGGTATTACCATAGTCAAAATATCCTCACACCCAGATTCAAAATCTGAATAGAGGGCATTTAAATGTTGAACGTAAGTTGAAACGTCGTTTTCCTGGCAGCTTGTCTGTGACAAATTGGGGAACTGAGAAAATTCGCCCCGTCCAATATTTTGCTTCATTAGTCTCTCTCTGGCAAGAAACGCTGATAAGATGGACTTTGTTTTAATCAAATTTAAACTGTCGCCTTGTAATTACAAATTAACCATATTAAATTTTGTAAACAAATCTGTTAAGTAGGCGATGTCTGTTTTCCTCTTCATTAAATTTTCTTTTAAAATTTTATCTTTAGTATCCAGAAATTCTAAAATATTCTCAAAAAGTGCAAAAAATTTTGTCAAACATAAGCCTTTCGACAGCCAGCGTACTTCAGTGTGAAGGAGTAATTGATGAAAGTGTTCGTCATTTTCTTCACACAACTGCGCAAATAACCGCGTATTCAACGCGTTGCTTCGGATTCGGTTTACTGTATCAATGACTAAATGAAGTGATTCATGCAATCTAACACTCAAAGTTTTAGCAACTAAATGTTGTCGATGGATGACGCAATGTATTGCTAACACCCCTGACACATTTTGTTTTAAATAGCTTATAAATCCACGATAACGTCCAACCATGGCAGGTGCTCCATCTGTAGCTACTGATATTATATTTGATAAAGGAATTGCTTTTTCAATGAAGTAATCCTTCAAAACATGAAATACTGATTCACCTTTAGTGTCGGTTATCAAAGTTCTTGCGAAGAGCAGTTCTTCGTAGATTCCTTGATTCATAATAAAACGAACATATACCAATAATAATGCTGCATTATCAGGTAAAGTTGACTCGTCCAGTTGTAAAGATAAATGGGTCGTTTGCAAATAATTACATAAGAAGCTTTCAATATCAGAACTCATTTCATCAATACGTCTTTCAACAGTATTGTTGCTTAAGGGAATCCTTTTAATGATATCAGATGCAGGTTTGTGTAAAACAGTTTTTAAAACCTCTTCAACGGCTGGCAAAATTAACTTCTCTCCGATAGTATGCGGTTTTCCGGATTTTGCTATAAGTAACGAGATATTGTAAGACGCCCGCAAACCATCATCATTTCTTTGTGACGTCGAAGCGAACATTCTGTCCAGTGTAGGTCTCTTCTGAAATTTATCATTGAGTGTTTGAAAGTATTTCAAATCTTTCTCTGTTTCATCAGGGTGGCATCTTCTCAGATGATCTTGCAGTTTAGATGGTTTCATAGCGTCATTGCCCAAAACTTTGTTGCATAAAAGGCACATAGACGATTGTTTGTCCGGCAATGATGGAATGAAGCCAAATTTCAAATAATCAACACTGTACTGTCTACATTTCTTTTTAGATTCGGACATGGCATCAGTCATCTGTGGGCAAAATTAAATTATTTAAATAAGACAGATAATCCAGCAGCTGTATATTAAAAATATTTTTTTATTTTTTCGAAAACATTCCATAATTCGAACATCTTCTTGCAACAATTAGCTCGAATTACGGAGATTGCACTGTAATTATATTACCGATTGCTAAAACTTTCAAAAAGAAACTATTGAGGAGTACTTGTGTAATTTTGCATGATTGAATATTTAACTACTAATAACTAAAGTCATGATTGGCGTAATTTATCTATCTTTGCTAACTACGAGTACAAAACAAAAATTTAATAAAAAATAATGTACTTTTCTCCAGCACTCTCAAACAAAATAACACTGACTCACTATAATTTGTGTGATATACTATCTGTTTATATTTTTTAAATATTTTCTTAGCACTTTCCTTTTCAAGATTCAGGAAACGAATAAACGTATTTGTCCCACATTCGTATTTATAGAGTGACGAATTGAACAAGTCAGTGCAAGGTAGCGAAGCTCTGTGACTGCGACTCTCAGGTTTTTACAAGTTCAAAATGTATTGCGACCACAAAGCGAATACCAACGTCCTACAACTTACACAATTTTATAAATATATATAATAAATGTTTTACTTCATAGGTACTTTTATAAATAATGTATATGTTTTGATATTATAAGATAGTATCATGTAAGTAAATAGGTACTATCAGTGTATGTGTTGAGATCCACTATCGTGGACCCCCATATTCATTTCATGGACCCCCAAATTTTTTTTCGCTTACGTAGACCCCTTGCAGGTTGTCATAGACCCCTAGGGGTCGATATAGACCACTTTGGGAATCAATGTATCTAGAGGAAGCCTATAAAATAACGAGAAAGGTGCTACGCCAAGCCATTAAATCGTCGAAGAGAAGATGCTGGCAGGACATCAACGACGATGTATGGGGGAAAGGATACCAGATAGCAGTCTTCAGACTGAAGCTTACATCTTCCAACATTGCGATCCCTTTACCAAAGAAGTTGGAATTTGTCGAGATCCTGTTTCCAGTCATGGCTGCAGTACCGTGGGAGGAGACGACACCTTGTGGAGTAACACCTTTCACCATTTACGAGCTTTTGGCAGCTGCGGATAGACCGAAGCCCAACAAGATACCAGGGCCTGACAAGATACCATCGGAGATGGCAATTTCCCAGCAACTATGCTGAAGGTGATGAATAATGCTATCACGACTGGAAGCTTCCCCGCAATTTGGAAACGTGCGGAACTGATCCTGTTACAGAAGAGGCATAAACGTCTAACGGTTGCAGCGGATTTCCGTCCGATTTCATTATTAGATGCAGCCGGAAAGCTACAAGAATGTATGATCCTCGAACGCTTACTAGAAGTAAATGAGACAATATCGGCAAGAAAATATGGTTTCAGACGGGGTAAATCAACCCTTGATGCTATCAACCACATGATAAGCATTGCAAAGAGCGTGGAAGTAGTGATCAATCGCAAATTACAATTATGCGCGATGATCACAAAGGACATAGTAAATGCTTTAAGGGCCAATTTCGCCATCATTAATATTTGACGGCCACTTGGGCCAATGGGAAAATACCATATCGAAATGCATTTGATAGAAGCTGTCAAAGGTCTCTGAATATCAATGATTTCTATTAAAATATTGAATAAAATCGTGAAAATTCGACTGTATTATAAACAAGACCACTTTTTGATTCCAACATGATGCTTTTGTATAGAGAAAACAGGACAACTTCTATGTATTTTGATTTCTCTTATAAATTTGCATTAAACAATCCGTTATCCCCAAAGTCAATGGGAATGCGGCAAATAACAGGTCGATTATCTAGCTGCTAAATTTAATAGCAGGTTTAGACGTTTGTTAATGCATGGCAATCTCGCATTTGTTAAGTTCAATATACTGAGTGTTTATATGTTATCATTATAGCTACATACCTGTTGAATTGTGCGGATTTCTCTGTATTTTGCAAGAAAATATAATATAAAATACATTTACAACCAATTCCTCATTTTGCTTTACATCATAACAGTAATAATTTATTAATTTATGGGTTGATGAATTTCTTCAAAGCAGTAAAAACATTATGTCCTCTCCATCCTAAAACACAGATAATATGTGTAAGACGTGTCAATCCCTACATCTCCGTGATGCATAATGCAATTACTATGGACATAGACAGAAAATATTGCACATTCTCACAAATAATGTCTTTTAACTCAAATCATAGAAAATAATGATGTTTCTTGTTTGATTGCCTTTTTGACTGCCGGGGATATCTATCTGTCATTTGCAGGGTTGCCAAATCTAACGACGATCACGTCCCGTGGTGGAGGGTGCGAAATGAATCTTTTACATTTGATGTTTTAGAATTTAAAGTAGGAACACAAACATAGTACATGATAGTTGGAGCTAGACTGTCTTAAAGAATATTTGCAAAGTGTGAACACCATCATGGTCTGTTGTATCTTCAAATTGTAATTGAAGTATCTGAAAACTCTTACATACAGTGAACCTTCGTCATAGTTTATTATCCTGATTATGATCATCTTTGGCAGATGAGTTGTATCATCAAATTTATGAACAAATATAAGGAAGCTCTGATATACCTACGTATAGCGGATTTTTCATGATTATAACCATCTTTAGTAGATTGTTCGATCCGGAATGGGAATGATCTCCTATGTACGAAAATATTTTTGGTATCATCTAACCGTTCCAATCAGTGCACAGAAACTGTGACACATTTTGGGTCCATTATTGTATAGCCTATATACTTTTAATTTCATGAAATCGCTAAGTTATTGTCAATATCATCTTTATGCTGACGACACTCAAATATATGCCTCTTTTAAACCTGATCTGTCAGAACTTATAACAAACCGACTGAATACCGACTTGAATAGCCTTCTCAAAACCTTTGAAGATCACTTGTCGAAGATAAACCCTAGTAAATCGACGGCTATATTGTTTTGTAGTGATTCCTACAGAAACGTATTAGGAAATAATATTAAGCTCAAACTAGGGGACAATATAACATTATTTAGGGATTCCGTGAAGGATTTGGGCTTAGTGGTTGACTCTAAACTTAAGTTTAGAGAGCATATTACTCTGTGCCTAAGAAAAGCATATTCAGTGTTAAAAATAGTTTACCCCCATAGACATTACCTATCACAAAATACTAAACCCACGTTCTGCGAAGCTTTAGTGTTGTTCCACTTCAACTTTGCTGATATGGTATATGGCCCATTCCTTGATAGTGTGGAACTAAAAGGGGTTCAAAAAGCTCAGAATTCTTGTCTGAGACTGATATTTGGCATAAGGGGTAGACCATCGACTTTGAAACAAGGATAGACCCAGCAAGTCATTCATAAAACTACATTAGATTCGTTGACGACATAAACAAAGCACAAAGTTGTGGCGAGGGGCTATGAGGGAATGAGAGGGGAACAATAAAATGGCCGCCGCATGAGAATTCAGGTTGTGAAACCTCACGTCACTGAAGACTCTATGTATAATCATTGGTACAATTACACATAGGCGTAGCATACAATACGTATAAGGGTGACAAAATAAGCGTATTTATATCAAGAGCATCACAAAAAAAAAACGGTACGAAGTTGTGTACTAACAAATATATTACTCACATTTGTGCAATATCTAGTTCAATTGGAATACTTACGTGAACTCTATTGAGTGGGCAGGATACAAAAGCCTTTAAAATAGAAACTCCAAGTTATTATGTTCTATTTATATTCATACATATATATATATATATATATTGCAAAATGTAACAAATCAGGGAACATGGAATGATTATCGAGACCCCAAATAAGTTTTAATATAATCACATAGCTCATTTTCATATCTTCATTCATAAAAATACACTAAGTATCAGCTGAAATGTATATATCGAGCAGTTTATCACTTTTGATATAATTTTTATGTGTTACTATGAAAACATATTGGGTACACATATTAAATAGACATATAATAATTATAACCAAAATAGTAGCAGTCATATAAGAACAAAGTTTTGAATATAAGACAAACCTAGGCTATCCAAAAACTAAAACAAACGTTATTAATCCTCTTACCACCTATTAAACTGTAAACCAATCATTCTGTATGTTGCAGTATTATGTATTACAGGATATAGAATAAGTGATAAACTTCTCTCACCTCTTTCTTTTTTTCTTAACAAGCATATGTTCTTGTACTCCAGCGGTTTTAGCAGCACTATCACTTTCTGATGCTGATAATGTTGAGGAAGTATGGACATATTGCCTACAAAGAAGAAAATTAATTCCTATGTAACAGTATAAAAGCACAAATGTTTAATAAGCCTTACTCTTCATTTGATGAGCCAGGAAAGTTATACATCTCTTCATCCATGAATAACCTGTAAACAACAAATAAATAAGTGCTATGAAAAGAATACTGCTGATTAGGACTGATCAAACATTTAGTAAGGGTTATATTAAGGCATATATCAAACTGAATGAGTTTCAACTTCATCATCTTTTTTATGGTACAGATTGAGGTAAGCTCTATTTAAATCATTACAAAACCCTAGATAATTTCCTGAATACCTTCTTGTTGTACTTGAACCTACAATGGTGGTATTTTTTCCATCTACGATATCAATTCAGCAAATATAAAATGCTTCCATATGGATGTATATAATAATATACTACAAAATAACATGATAGAGAATATAAATTAAACTTACCTTTTTTTAGCAGGAGTCCCCTCACAAGTGATTGAAATGGCAGATATATATATACAATCTGAGTCTTCTTGCTTCTCTGGACTTACAGATGATTCTGAACTAGAATAAAGCATATATATATACAAAACCAAATTAGGGACTTCTACATAGTGAGATACTAATGCATAGAAATACATCATGAAATTAAACACTAAATAATAGTATGAGTTATAAAAATCAATGCACATATATAAAAAATACACAAAAAATCAAAAGGAACTATAGTTTTAACCAAAATATGAGCAACTCAGTTTAATGCATTGTGATTTAAACAAACCAAATCAATCAAATGTACTGTCACTGTTTTCATAGCAATGTAATGTAAGATATAAGCATCATCTTCATTTCAGCTCATAAGATGCAGATATTATGTTAGCTCTTCTTGATTGCTGATAGATTATAGAGTATGTCTTATATCTGTCTATTATCTGTGAAATTGCCAAAATATAACACTAATTATAGCTAAATTTACCTAAATCCATAACAGTTAAGTTAGGAAATACCTAGATCAGAAACATCTTATATGAAAAGTTAAACAGCAGATAGAATCAGAATCAAAATGAGTGGTTGTTAAATATTATTAAATACAACTATTCTTTTTTGTTTACTGTATTAGAAAAACTAGTCTATTATGTATTAAGAGTTTACCTGGTGCTTACTGCAGGATCAAACAAAGAATGAGAGATGAGAGGAATCGCATCCCGCTTGAGTGTCTTTTGTCCCTCACTTCCATAAACAAACGCATTTTCTCCAAAATGCTTGGAACATAGCTCCACCCTCTTAGGAAATTGATGGTTTTCCTCGAATCCAAGGGCCGACAACCACCTTTTTCTCCTTTCCGGGTTCTTGGGAAGGCTAGAATTTCGAATATTACAGTTATAAATCGAAAGCTATCAACAAGTTTCTCGATAATGAGACGCCATGATACGCCTCTGAACATAAACAAGATGTATACTTACGAATGAAATTTTAAAGATTCCGCTCCAGCCTGATGTTTATAAATTTTACACAAATAGCACTGCTGCACCATTTTATTGCGATTGAATATACCTTTATAGTCTCTTTAAAATGAATAAAAGCAGCAAGGAAATTCACTATCAAAACAAACTTTGACAATTGACACAAAATGGCAGTTGTTTAGTAACTTAAATAAGTGCTACCAATATACTATTAGAGAGATATTGCATATGGACCTAAATAAGGGTATGCATTATTTAGGTGAACCTAAATAAGTACAGTGGAATTAGAGATATTGCACATGTAACGTATTTTGACAGTTCGCTTTGATGGTGTTTATCTTAACCTCACTTTTCCTTCCAGTTTTTGCTTGCATAATATAGGTGGTTCGTAGTTGAAATTCTACCAAAGGTGTGAGAAGTGAGATTGTAAAATGGAAGCTGAATTGGAAGCAGTTATATTGGCAGGAGCAGATGAGGAGGAAATAGAACATATCATCCTCCATAATATATTTATTGATAGAGGCATTACTCATACAGCACAATTCAACTTGGAAAACTTGCCAGATGAAGTAATAAGACTAAATTTTCGATTTGAGAGGTCTGACCTTCATAGGCTGATGGCTGTTTTACGAATACCTTCAGAAATTGTCACTATCACACGTAATAAAGTGGATGGTATGATTTTGTTTAAATATTTATTGCTATATGTTCATCATTTCAATCGAACTCCATCCTCTGACTCAAACAACACTTGCCAGAGGCTGGAATTCTATCAACATGAAAACCACAGTATAAGTTCCATTTATCTTCTTTCAGGTTTAACAGCATTGTGCATTCTACTAAGACGGCTGGCATATCCAAACAGATTGTGTGATATGGTCCCTATGTTCCACTTGTCAACTCAGTCTTTGTCACAAATCATAAATAAATTGATAAGTGTGATTATGGAGGAGCATGCTGTACTTCTCAACAATTTGAATTCATTGCAGTGGTTTAATAGGGAGAAGTTGGAGTATTATGCACAGGTATTGTATTGTGTAATATAGTTGAAGTGATGGTTGGTTCATAAAATGCTGAAATGTGCTTTTTGTAGGCTATTCATAATAAAGGAGCACCTATGAATAATTGTTGGGGTTTCATCGATGGTACAGCAAGGAAAATTTGTCGACCCTCTGAAAATCAAGAAGAGTATTATTCAGGACACAAAAGGTATCACTGCATAAAATTCCAATCAATAATTTGTCCTGATGGAATTATTGTTAGTTTGAAAGGCGCATATCCGGGAAGAAGGCATGATGCCAGAATATTTAGGGAGTCAGGTATCTCTGAAGAATTAGTGCAAAAGACATGTTTTGACACAAGACGATTTGTTTTATTTGGTGATCAAGGATATGGGCTGAGTGATGTGCTATTTACCCCATTTCATGGCAGAATGGAAGATTTACCTGCCCATCAGCAGAGTTTCAATTCTGCTATGAAAGTTCTAAGGATAGCAGTAGAATGGGGTTTTCAGAAAGTCATATCAGAATTTGCCTTTGTAGATTTTTCAAAAAACCAAAAAATGCTACTTCAAGACGTTGATGCTTTATACAAGGTGGCTGTACTACTTACTAACTGCCATACATGCCTGTATAGTAGTCAGACTGCTATGTATTTCAATACAAATCCACCTTCACTTGAGACCTACATAGGCCACTGATAAATAGAGGACATTTTGGGTTTGAAATACTCGTTTGCTTTCCATCGCCGCAGCCAAGACCAACCGCAGACAGCGCTGTTTCGGGCTCTTTAGCCCTCATCAGTATGGTATAGGTCTGTATCAGGTCCAGCCGTGAAGGCGGACAAATGGAAAGTAAACAAGCGAATGTGGTCTATCAAATAGCGGGAAGACGGTAAATGTAAAAGATGGCTCGCGCCATCTAAATTTCGCTAGAACTAGTTTCTTTGCAATGGAAAGCAAACGAGTATATCAGACTATATTATTGCATGTTCTGCAGAAAATGCTATTGTTAGTTTGTCCTGTGAACGCCTTGCGTTACGACTCTGGTGGCCGGCTACTGTTGGTTGGTACCGGGGTATCTGTACTCTGTACAATTCATCTGAGTCAGCGACCAGAAATCGTAAGGGGTTTCTGCTTTGCCTGCGTCGTCATTGACGAAACTTGCAAAGAAACTATCTCTAGCGCAAATTTAGATGGCGCTAGCCATCTTTTACATCTAAATTTTGGGTTGTTTCTAACTTGTAACGCTTGATGATAATTTGTAATTTTTTATAGACTTGTAAGACCAATAAAGCTTGTTTGGAATGTATGTTTATTTATTTTACAACCATAAGGGCAGCAAGCACCCAATAAGAGATTTCAAAACTAAATTAGTATGTTGCTGAAAATATATGAAATCAACTTCTTCAGGAGTTGTGGATGAAATATGTTTGATCCTGAAGTTACACAGTTTTACTATGTTCATACATGGAACCAGTTGCAGAATCAATTTCATATATTTTCGGCAACAAACTTGGTTTGTGCTCACCATCCTTAGCATCAACATTATTATTTCAATATAAGGCCAGTATATTATTTTTTTAATGGCAAATTATCTATTATCAAGTTTTGTCAGTAATGCTTCAATAAGCTTTTGTTGTGTTTTGATGAGGTCACTCAAGTTTTTTCTTTCAGCGACATCTTGCTCAGATTTCTTTTGTTCTAACTCTATCCTATGTTTTTTTTCTTGAATTTCTGCCTCAAGCCTTTTAGACTCCAAGGCAAGTCTTGCTTTGTCATTTGCAATTTTTTCTTTTTCATTATCCATTTTTTGTTCTTCTAACTTGAGTTCTGCAGATCTTATTTCTCGTGATATTTCCGCTTTTTCTCGTAGGTAATCAAGGCCATTTTTTCTCAATGTTTTACTTTTGTTCATCCTTTTGGTACGGGGGGCTGTAATGATCGAAAAGTAAGTAACAGCAACAATAAACAAATGTATTTAATCTTGAACATGAAATGTAAGAGGTAGTTTTGAGCTTTCTGTTTTATAGGTAATGTATAACATACTAGAAACTACTTAATCTAGTAGTAGCCCTCTGAATGGGATGCCATGGCAATGCTATATACGCTGTAGTCATCTGGATCCACTATTTGGTTAGTCTGGCCTGTAAATAAAACCGCAGTGCTAAACAAAAGAAGTTCACTGACAGGTTAGTCATTGCACTGGCTTTTATCAAAGTATATAACATAAGTACCTACACATTTTATATCGAGCACTGGTTTTATTTACTGGTCATACTCCATAACCTGTGGATCTGTTTTAGTGTTTCTATTACTGAAGATTCAAGCAGTAATTCTAATCATTGTTTTACCTGATATCTGTTTTGCAGTTCCAACATCTTGTACAGATATCTGTTTTGCAGTTCCAACATCTTGTACAGATATCTGTTTTGCAGTTCCAACATCTTGTACAGATATCTGTTTTGCAGTTCCAACATCTTGTACAGATATCTGTTTTGCAGTTCCAACATCTTGTACAGACTTATTATTATTTTCTGTGTCAACGTCGACTGTAACACAAACACCTAAAACTGTGATAATATAGTAATATGTATAAAAAATGTTTAGAATAGTTATTTTACCGTAATCATGGTCGATTAAAGTGTCATCCACATCAGAAAAGGCCAGCAGTGCCATAGCCTCTCTTTCATTGCGTGTCTTTTCAATCATATCTTTCGCTTTGTTTTCCACTTTTTTCTTTTTTGCTGGTGTAGTTGAGCAGGTCTCTTTCATTAACTCGCTGGCTTCTTGGAGCATATGTTCTCTTTCATTATAGACTTCTTCTATGCCAGACCTGTCAAACACAAATGTTGTTTCACCAAGTCTTACATTAAGCATTCTCTTGTTATTAAAATACATGTAGGTACAGTGTGCTATCTTATACTTACTTGACTTTGCTGTTAACCTCCTTTTTGAGGAACAGCTCCAGAAGATGGTTCAGATGCTTTTTTATTGTTCTCAAAATAAATTCTTTTCCCGTAAGCTCTCGCAAGTTCTGTAAGATTGAGTCCCACTTCTCAGGAGAACGGATAGGGTTTTGTGCAATAAATTCACGCAGCAAAATCATTTCGTCGTCATACGTGAACCTTATTCTCTTTTTATCCATATTCATAGTTACCAAAACGCTTCAGCAATCGTTGAATTTTGAGAGTACAAATTTATAGGTTAAATAGGCTTGCGACGACACCCGATTTGCTTAGATCGTGAATCGTCGTGACATAAGAACGCCTAAATAAGCTCCCCCTATTATAGCTTAAATAAGGACGTGCCTTATCCCTATTAATTCCTCATAGATACAGAATTGTATGTGCGCATGCGTAGATGTCAAAATAAGGTCTGCACTAATAAGGCAGATGTTTGCAATATCTCCCTATTTTCTTACGATGTGGATAAATAATGAATGAGCAGATAAAAGCAACGTTGCCAGATCTTCAAGTCGATTATGGTATAATTTATGTAAGGTTCTTACTTGTTTGACTATTTTGACATCAATCCATTGTACGAGAATCATGATGTTTAGTACCCACACATGCGCTGAAAAATCACCATAAACAGGGAGTAATTTTAGTTACTGGAGGTTTGAAAATGTGTAGAACGACCACGAACAAATCCGTTGTTTTGCTGCCGTTTCTTGCGGTGAGGCAACGTGTCGATTCGCTTTGTATATGTCGTCAACAACCAGAAATGTAAGCAAAGGGGTCTATCCTCGTTTTAAAGTCGATGGGGTAGACAAAGAGTATCCCACAAACTACATGAACTGGGATGGTTGAATATGGCTCAGATGCGTACCTTGCACTCTACGTCCTTTTCTTACAAGATTATAAAATATAAAAGCCCCCCTTATCTTCACTTAAAAATTAGTTACCGGACTAATGTACATAATCCAAACATTAGAAGATTGAATTTGATTACCCATCACACAATAAAGAATCATTTAAGAAATCATTCTCATATCAAATTGCCTTTTCGGTAAGTAAATTCAAAATTAATGATTTTTCTCTCTCGGTAGCTACATTTAAGAGGAACCTCAAAAGTGATTTACTGTCTCAAATATCATATAAAACACATCTACTGCTCCCCCTTTTCTCTTCTTCTCTTTCCCCTCGCTTTCTCTTCTCACTCTAAGTTTCCATTTCTCTAC